TACTACATTTTCATCACCGGCTGCCCTCCTGCAGGGGTCTGCTGCAGCCTCACCATTAAGCTGTCAGGTTCCCTGGCTGTAATGAGTAATGACAAAGCAGTTCCAGCTTCTCTGAAACACACCTAAAAATGAATGGTTGGGGGTGTGATATTATGAAAAACAAAACAAACCATGCAAATGTCCTTGAGGTTGTTTTCAAAGACTTATTGATGTGAAATTCTCAGTATTTTAATTGGTATTCAATGCGTACCTAGAAACCCATTATGATTATCCAGTCACTGAAGGATCGAGTCTAAGCATCGCATGGCTACAGCGCTAACAAAGGCTCAGTGGGAAGAGGTTTTGCACAGCAATGGGTGAACATTAGTCATACTTGCATATTCTTCTTTCCACACGTTAAAGGTCTGAGCAGACAAAGAGCTGTGCCCTGGATGGTTTCGAAATCCATCAATCTTCGTCGGTCCTGAATGGACCCCTCCGAGTGGAAAGGCTTTTTGCCCACGCAAGTATCACAGCGCTGCACGGGGCGTCATGCTGCTGGGTACGTTACAGTATGTTTTCCAAAGAACATTTCCCTGAGGTAAGAGGCAAAATATAGCTCTTGTATCCGATACTGCATGAAGTCTACTCCTCTGCAGGAAAGCAATCTACTCCTCCCTTCCCAAAACAACACCACCATTTAAAACTACATTATTACCAAGAATGAGCAGGACAAACAGCACACTTTTTTTTAATTGACATTTAAGGCTAGTTTAAAGCCAGGCTCATCTATTAGCTTATAGAAGATTGTTTCCATTTACAAATATGAACAATATTTCTGTACTGCTTTCCCTAACACCAGTGACTTGTATAAATACTTTTTTTTCCTCTGAACAAATTACATGTACCATGAAATATGGTAGGTTTTGATAGTGTGTGAGGCTATGCAGTTCATGTACAAATTGAGCTTTTTCCATTTCTCTTTCTTTTCCAGATGACGTTTTGCTCCTTATTTCTTGCTTTTCTCTTAGTTTTGGTGTCAATCGATAATTTTTTTTCACTTGGAAACAAATCGAAATACATAGCAGGCATTTTCCTGTCTAAATTGCACAATCAGTTTGGAGCAGAAATAATAAAGGGCTGTTCACAACATTACTCTAGCAGGCCTTACTGGTGAGGAGAAAAAGTGCCTAACAATGAATACTTAATGAGATGAGCTCAAAGCTCGCCATCAATTCTTTGCCCTAAAGGTTACAGGTTGTGAAAGCTACATTAGCACCAGAAGGATATCGCTTTTTAGACCCACCCTTGCTGGGCAAACCCTACGGCTGGACCCCTGATACCTGGCAATGCCCCAGGATGGGTTTGTGGTGGTGACAGGCAGTGCTACCAAAGGCTGGACCCAGACCTGGGCCCAAACCCAGACCTGGACCCGGACACAGGCCCAGAACCAGCACGGTGCTGAGGGTGGCTGGGGCTTGTGGGATGAACGTGCAGATGGGTCCCGCGTGTCTTGCCTCCCAGCCCCAGCTGGGATTATGGCTCTGAACAAGTCACTTAACGTTTCTGCTGCAGCTTCCCCACCTCTTCCCCTTCACTAAATGCTTACAGTGATACGTGAAGTGGTATGAATGGGTCCAACCCAGCAGAATAGCTGCAAAGACCACCCAAGACTGGGGACCTCACAACCACTCAGCACTGTGCTGGCATGGCAAGCCAGCAAAAGCCATCCAAAATACACCTCAGCCATACACCCAGCAGAATTTCCCAGTTTGCCATCGTGCATCACGGACATACAATCCTTTTTCTCTGTGTGAAGTCTCAAGTTTTTTGTGCAAACCCCATCTGTTAAATTTCAGGAAAACCCAGAGAAAGCTCCTCCCCACAGATCCCCAGGGCTTTAAGATGTGTTGGTGGCCAGAAGCCAAGTGCGTTTTGGGGAGTAGCAGCGAACAGCTGCTTTTCAGACTCTTCCAAACACAGTTTTAAGACTTGCTCCATGCAGTTAATACTAGCATGATTCAAACTCTGCTTCCAACCCTGGCCTGCTTTCCTAAGGAAACATTGTACATGTGATGATACTCTGATCATTAACATTTTTTAACCCACTGGCCAGCTTCAGTGAAACTTAGCAGCCAGGCAGCAGTCTTGGAGACCCCAAGTTCCTATAAAATTCATGAATGATATGTGGCTGGGCCAAGGAAAATGAAAGAAAAAGCAGGTCAACCTGTATGAGACCCCAGAGAGCCCAGGGAGAGGAAGATGCTGTGGGTGCCCCACACCTCAGGAAAGCTTCACAACGTTTTTCATCCGTGTGGATGCAGGACCATCCAGCAGGAAAGCAGAATTCATTAGTTCCAGTATCGGTTTTTACAGTAGTATCATGAACTTACAGTCTCTGTCCAATGTCTCCCACAGCATTGGAACTAGCCCTCGCTGCGACGTGAAAAAGGACAGTCAATTTTGCGAATGTCAAAAGCCTCTCAGGGACCTTCTCTGGCACGAGCTGCAGTTGCTTTCCCTTGGCCGGAGGGACAGCCACATCCAGCAAGGCAGAGAGGAAAGTGTTGCTCTCCATTTGAAAACGTGTCTTTGTTCAAAGCAGAGTCTTTGCCATGAGCACACGTGCCTGCAGGGAGCTTCCTTCGGGGACTCTGCTGTAAAATGCGGCCATGAGGGCAGGCACAGAAGGACTGCAAAGTCCTCCGGCTGTTCCCCTGAATAACTGCTTTAACAAGAAGGTACAGTGACAGCCTGTGCTCACAGGGACTTCGGAAACCAGCCAGCAGTAGTTTCCTTACTAGATTTTTTTTTTTTTTTAATTCTAAACTGCAGATTTATAAACAGAAGAGTAGCAGGCCTCCTGTAATGGCAGCCGTTTTTCTGCAGTGCCTCAGCAGAAGGCAGCTAGGGAGGACAAGCTGAGTCGGAGCACGAGGAACTTGTAAGGAGCAGACCCTCATGACTGGCCTCAGCACCGGCCACGGCCACGCCAGGTCACAGAAAGCCGGGCTCCTTCACCAATGCAGGCTAAAGCAATCTAATTGAAGATGCTAGAAGTTATTTCTAGTAACAAAGCCAACAACCACTCTTCTAACTGATTGGTATTTTTCAGACTCATTTAAAAAAAAAAAAATCTTTATCCCCCTTTTTCTTCTTTTTCAGTGCTGCAGTGTTTCCCTAAGCCAGAGGCAAGACAGAAAGACGGGCTGGGAGAGATGTGCAAAGATAGCACCATTGTCAACCAAAGAAACCTCCTTCAATTATTCAGAGTATCTGCAGTTCTCAAATTTCCCATTCTTACAGCTTGAGCTAAGTGGTGCTGCATGCATTTGGCAGTAGTTCTTATTAACTCAGAGGACAGCCCCAGTAACATATGTATTCATAGGATAATTAATGTCTAAAGTGAATGTTGTGGTAAGGAGTTTCCATATACATTCCCCAACTATCTGCCAAATGCATATTTGTAAAGAGTAGGGAGCTTCAAATGGAAAAGGTAAATGTAATCCTAAGTAGACACGAAACAGAACTGCTTCTTTTTTTCTACTTCATTAACAACTAAAAAAATTGATCATAAAGCTGTGCCACACTAAAATACTCACAAAGCTGCAAGCATCAAAACCCAGTGAGCAACTAAGCACAGTCAACCGACAACTAGGAAAAGCAGACTTTCTGATATCTACCAGTAATATTTTGAATCTGAAAGGCAAACTAGAGTTGAATTCATGACAAAACCATATTTAAGAAGGTAAATGTGAGAGCTGGGTGTCTATGCTGCAACACCATGAGTTAGAAAAATTTGAACAGACCTTGGTATCTCCATGGATAAACTGGGATTATGAAATGATGTGAACTCTGCGCAGAGGTGTTGACAGACAGCATGCTCGTTTTATCATATTTATCCTTTTGCAGTGTACTCTGAACTGGCATTCCTATTCCAAGATCCCTTTTACAATATATCATCCCCTTGGTAGGGGACAGGATGCTTCAGTTTGCCAGCCAACCCAGCCCAACCTCCTGAGTCACCGCGTTGCATCTCTTTAGGAGTGATTAAGCGCTACAGTTGCCTGAACCAAAGAAATCTCATCTATTTCCCCCTTTTGTCACAGACACGTTACCCTTGCTGAGTCTCTGCAGAACCACCAGCAGCATGTCTCTCCAAGGTGCCAGCTGAAAGGGAGTCTGAATAGATCAGCTAGAAGTGGCTGGATCTCCATACAGCGGCACCCGCTGCAGTATGTAAGGTCTGTCATGGAAGGTAAGCAAAGTACCTCCAGTAAAACCGTGGTGAAATGCTGAATAACGTACCCCAGCACCTTGCAGCAAGGCTATATATACATTATATATACGGTGATGTGCACGGCTTCTACCAGCCAAAGAAGCGGGAAGGATCAGGATGTTATCTGCCTTGTGACGTTTCACAAGCCACCGATCTGGTCCTGTTCCTTTCAATCCAACTCTTTTCATTCGTGCAGCTGGTCAAAAAAAGGGGTAGGTATTATTTTGCATTTTTCCATATTCCCCTTCACACACACAAACCATCCCCTCTTAAAACTCTCTTAGAAATGTGAAAAAGTGCCTAGCTGTGCTAGGAAGGGACCCTTTCAAACCGGCTTCTCCGTGCTGGCCCCATCCACATGGTGGGGTGGGTGCAAGCCAGCGAGGGCAGTGGGGTGGACAAGGGAAAAGGTGCGCGGGGGGATCGGATGCGACACTTACTGCAGAACTGCCGCCGCCTGGCTCCGCATCGCCAGAGCCGCGTCCGTACCCAGTGCAGGCATGGGGACAGGTCCATGGTTCGAGGGGCTGCCCGTCCCCGGGGCCACCCAGGGCGGCCCACTCCCCACCGGGCAAACCCGTGGCCGCGTCGGGCCAAGCCCCAGGCTGCTGGGAGGATGCGGCGGGTGGCTGCCGAGGCCCTGCCATCCATCCGTCGCCATGCCATCTTTTATGCATGAAGGTGGCGGCGCGTAATTTCATCCTGACTCTCTGCGCCTGGTGTGTACGTGAGCGCCTGCGACATGGAGGAGCCACGGCATCAGTCCCTGGGGAGAGCGAGCTCAGGGGGAGGCAAGGAGCCTGCAGCACTCCCGGGGTGGGGGAAGGTGCCCATCGGAAAAATGAGGCCTTATTCAGCCTCTGTGTCATCATCTGAAGTTCATCCATCGGCAGGTCTACAGGTGCCGCACTCTGCGTGGACCTCGGAGCGGGAGGAGATTCAGGGATATGAGGATGCCCTACAGAAAACCATGTGCACTCTGGTCACAAAACTGTGGCCTGTGTTTGAAACTTCAACCCCACTGCTGCCATGTGAGGGAACAGGGGCGCTGAGAGTGTTTGAGCGCAACGAAGGTTTAGCACATCCATGTCAGTACTGCACTAGTAGGGGTGGTCAGCATTTCTTATTTTTATTTTAATTTCACTTTTGATATTACCATAATCCCCAAAGTGCCACTATAACCCTGTCACTGCTGTCTGAGGCACTTGTTTCGTAACATGACAAAATGTCCTCTCCACCAATAAGCTGACAATTTAGGCTTCTGATCTCATACCTATAAGTTTTGCCTCAGCAAATATGTTTGCATTTTTTACTTTAAATGTTGCCTAGATCACAAGAAAGAGGTTACTGTACACACATCCCCCAGCACACCCTTTACCAGGCAAGACCGAAGCTAAGAAGTCGGTCTGGAGCACATGACTTGTGTTGTAATCCCATAGGCACTGGAAGGACTCCTGAAACTTTTCCCTATGGCAGGTCCGGCTGTGAGACCACTAAGACCACCCTGTTCCCCAGAGGTCAGTACTGGGTCCAGTCTTGTTCAACATATTCATCAATAACCTGGATGAGGGGGCAGGGACACCCTCAGGAGGTTTGCTGATGATGCAAAACTGGGAGAAGTGGCTGACACACCAGAAGGCTGTGCTGCCATACAGCAAGACCTGGACAGGCTAGAGAGTTGGGCAGAGAAGACCCTGATGAAGTTCAACAAGGGCAAATGTATGGTCCTGCACCCAGGGAGAAATAATCCCATGAACCGGTACAGGTTAGCGTTTGACCTGCTGGAAAGCACCTCCTCAGAGAAGGACCTGGGAGTCCTGGTGGACAAGAGGCTGTCCATGAGCTAGCAATGTGCCCTTGGGGCCAAGAAGGCTGATGGTGTCCTGGGGTACATTAAAAAGAGTGTAGCCAGCAGGTCCAGGGAGGCTATCCTCTCCCTCTACTCTCCCTTGTCGAGGCCACATCTGGAGTAGTGTGTCCAGTTCTGCGCTCCCCAGTTCAAGAAAGACAAGGAACTACTGGAAAGAGTCCAGTGGAGGGCTATGAAGATGATCAGGGGACTGGAGCATCTCTCTTATGAGGAAAGGCTGAGAGACCTGGGTCCATTTAGCCTGGAGAAGAGAAGACTGAGAGGGGATATCCTGAATGCTTATAAATATCTAAATGGCAGGTGTCAAGAGGATGGGGCCAGACTCTTTTCAGTGGTATCCAGCGACAGGATAAGGGACTATCTTGTGCATCCTGCTCTAGGTGAACCTGCTTTATCAGGGGGATTGGACTAGACGATTGCTAGACGTCCCTTCCAATCCCTACCATTCTGTGACTCTGTGATTCTGTGAAGGCTGGACAGGAGGATGGCAAGCCCTGCCACATGCACCAGCGTAACAGGAGAGCAATGGCTGGAGGGGGTTTCAGGTTTCCTTGCCATTTGAATCCATAGTCGGGTCATCTAAAGGGCCATGGTCATCATTTTTTTTGTGTCTGATGTAGGTAGGTAAATCTTGTGCACTCATTGTAATGATAGATAAAACCCAGGAGAGGCATTTGAGCTTCATGAAGAATTTGCTTTGAGTCTTGAGTCATTGTGCAATAACTTCATTTTGAGAAGGGTCAGAGTGAATTAGCGACATACTGTGGTGGACAACACTGCTGGCCTAACAGGGAGCAGCTGATCCAGGTTATTTTCTCCACCAACATGCTTCTGGTATTTCAATAGGCATCATCACCTATTTCTGTTCCTATCAGGAAGAACTCATCATATGATGCTTTGGGTCTGCTGAAACCATTGCTGTATCAGACTGGAAGGGATTCCTGGGTCACCACGTCCAGTCTCCAGCTGCCTTGGCAATCCCAGCATATTTCCAGTCTTTAATAAATTATATCTCAGAATTAGGCTTCCTACTCTCTTTTACTTGAGGAATAAGGAAATATGAGTTGAGGGGACTTTACATGGTGAAGAGTCACTTTTTTATTAGAATTCAGCACAGCTGTGATCTCAGTGTCATCAGTTGCTTGCAGTGACTCTGATGCACATAATTTACAGCAATAAATGAGACATAACAGCAGGTATGTGTGGGCTGGAAATAGAAATTAGACCTGAAATGAGAATGATATGACGGCTTTGGTGTATTTTATGCTTAAATAGTGCTTATAATTGTCTTTTTAGAATCGTACAGACAAATAAATAAGAATAATTTAAGAGACTGACTATGTAGCATTCAATTTTGCTTGTTTAAGGAAAATACACTACTATGACAACTATATTTGTGCTGATGATAGCTTGTTTTCTTCGGTATTTGATATTTGTCCTCCTCCTCTTTTTGTTTGTTTTTTTTTTTTTTTTTTAACACAAAGTTACCTAATCTTAGAATAAGGTATTTGTAGATATGTTTTTACTTTAGAGTAGGCAGAAGTCATCATTTTTGCACTTGATTGGTTCTAATTCATTGTTATTTTCTAAATAACATTCTGGGCGATTTGCATGCAGTCATCTGGCACCAAAGCGCAAAGGAGACATTCAGAAAAGCTTAATTATGCACATCATTTTAGACACCATCCCCCCTTCAATTTTCCTCCAACTCATTTTCTGTAAATGAATGATGACATGTCAGAGTCACAAGGCAGAGCACCCAGTACATGTGTCTTTCTGCATTTTACTTTAAAATCTTGGTGGAGAGGAAGAGACATGCAGTTGCTCAGTAGAAATAGGAACTGCTGAGCCAGTTCGCACCTAGTCACGTTGCTCCTGTAACTAATCAGCAAGAAAAACCTTGGCAACAGCCAACAAAGACAACAGCCTTCAGTCACTGCAGAGTTTCCAGGGTTAAATATAACCACTCAATCCAATGCTCATCATTGACCTGCCAGTGCAATGTGGTTTTCTAGCGGATGCTGCTATTCCCCTACAAAGACAGAGACCTCCTACAGATCGTGGTGGCCACAAGTTGATGCCTGAAGCCCTGACATGTGGCTCTACTAGTTTTTTCCCCAGAATGCTGCTCATAGACGCAGTTAATAAACCTTTTCCATCAGCAGAGGTGATCTGTTGTGGAGCTATGTTCCCCTACTTCTCTTAAAGGTTTTGAGATGCTCTGATTGCGATATAAACAACAATTTTTCAAGTTAGCAAACCACCAGCCTGCTAAATGTCAGAGCATTGTACTTCGGCATGTCAGATGTCTATTTTGATGAACAGTGGAATTCAATCTTATTTAATGCTTGAAAGAGGGTGATAAGGTGCCATGATGTTAGCGGATGTCAAGAGTACACAGTGCGCGCAGTGATGGAGTAGCATTTCTAGGAGAACTTCCACTTAAGCCGCTCACTCCGTGTGCTTCAGTGCAATGCTTCAGTTAGTTAAATCACTGGATAACAGGGTTTATAAATGCTGTAGGGGAAAAAAAATAAAGTCAGCATTGGTGCCTCAGGATACAATCACTCCCGCTCAACTCTCATACTGCAGCGCAGTCCTGTGCTGTTCTTGTGCCACCTACTGACCAGTTCCTCCTAACTTTTAATTCTTCTTTTCTCTAAATGGAACATTTTCCAGTTTACTTTTAAATACAAATATTTGATGTTGGATTTTGCCCAAGTAATTAATAGCTACTGAATACAGTCAGTCTTCATGCCTTGATAATAAGCTCTAATTTAGAGCTGAAACACTATCCTACACTAGTTGGCTCAGTAGAAGAAGAACGGGATGGGCTGGACTGGGATGGGATGGGATGGGACGGGATGGGATGATCTGTGTTATCCAGCATGTCAGATCCAACAGTGCTTTCTGTCTTTAAATATGTAATTCCCAGCTGAAATCATTATGATCGCACAAATGTTCAAAAGCAGAAGCTACCTGGAGAGTTTGCTGTCTGTCCATAGGTGTTTTTCATGACATGGCTGAGCTACGGCAAGGGGTTGATCTCTTCTTTCCATACCAGAGAGAGGTATTGAAATGCAGGCTGCGGTGATTTCTTTTGGCTTCCCAAGCCACTGAAATCAAGAACTACTCTGCAGAATTAAGAAAATGCTTTTGACTTTGTTATCAAAAGTCAAGGCAATGGCTAAATGAATGTGTGTTCCCACCTGGGACATTCCTGAAGTGCTTACAAGGTGGAAAACACATACCCTATTTAAGCTGTAAAGTTTTCTGGTTGCATCTATCTTGGGTAGATAAACCCCAGATTTGCAGGCCGGCCTAATGCTGTCAGTCGCTCTGCCAGCCACTTGTTATTAGTCTGGATATTGCTATCGTTCTGCAAATGTTTCTGATAGCCATTGTCTTCCTTGCTTTGAACCTAGCAGTTAACCTTCCAAAGGGTTCAGGTTAAAAAGTTATTCCAGCCCCCATGCAAGAAGCGACTGAAACCTGTAAAGAGTGGCACATTGACGTGACGAGCCTGGCATCAATCTGTGGCATCAATCAAGAATTTCTCCAGAATAACAGCATCAGAGGACTGTGCAGGCTGCTGTCAGAGCAGGTAGTCCTTCCTGAGCTTCTCGTAATGAAAAGTGATCAGAATGGCACTCTCTTCTATGTGTGGTCTTCAATGATCACTTTGCTCTGGGGCCAGTGCAGCCTTGGCCAGGTCAGGGCATGACACTGGAGAAGTTGCTTGCAGCTGCAGCTTCTACCTCCCACTTGTGCTCTCCTCCAGCTGCACATTTCACTGGGGGCCGACCTCGCTGTGTATTTTTAAAAATATGTGGAAAATAAGCTTTCAACTTCCTTCATTGCTGCCTCTTGCAACTCTTTCTTCAGTAGAAAGGGAAAATAGACTTCTTCACCCTAATTTACAGCATAGTAGACATTGCATATACTCTTTAAAAGGGATAACAAAGGGGTCACGCATAAATTTTGTGTTTGGGGACACAATATTTTCTTTTTCATTATTTGAAGTTCAGTATATGATCTTAGTTAATTTTTTTCCTTGCATTTTACTTGTTGGCCTGCGAGCAATTTCTTCTAAAATTAATTGGATTAATCATTCCAGAAGTCTCAACTGGATGTTTTTAGAAACAATTTCAGGTATCGGCAAGCATTTGGATTATGCCACCAATAAACTGGGCACGTTATTGT